CAGAAAGAGAAAGCTTCTTGATTTATTTTTTCCATCCTTTTGCTTGGACTGTAGAGTTATCTTTTGCTGCTGGAAGGTGGCATTGCTACACAGGCAAACACTTTTCCAGTGTTAGCCAGACCTAAATGCATGGTTTATTTTCCCTGTGTGGTTCTGTGCATTTTCCCCATTCTGGGTCCAGGTGACCAGGTGGGAAATGTGGTGTTTCCTCAGTTGTGCACAGAGTTGCCAAACTAGGTCCCACTTGGTTCTCACGTTGGATGCTCCAGAGCCATTTTAATGGGGGTTTGAAAGGTTGGAGGCTTGTGGCTGTGTTACTTTGTTAATTAAAAAAAGGAAACAATTTTCAGAAATTAAACACAACCAGAGCAGGGCCTTTCTTGTCACTGCTGTGACATGCTTTTGGGGAGATAAGTTTAAAAGACTACGTTGCTTCTGACCAGTGTGCTCTGGTCCTGGATGACTTTGCTGAAGCAAAGCAAATTGAAAGCACTTGTTTCTGCACATGAGCTCTGTGGTTTGGTTTGAACCTTGAACCTTCACAATGGCAGCTGTCTGCTCAGAGCCGAGAGCTTTTGTTTTTCACCTGGTTGCTTTTTGCTGCTTTGTGCGTTTGCTCATTTGAAAAAAAAAAAAAAAAAAAAAAAAAAAAAAAAAAAAAAAAATAGGGGGGTTTTTTTGGTTTTTTGAGGGCTGCCTTCCCTCCCTGCCCCTGGGGACTGCTCATGGGGCAGCCACCAGCAGCACCCCTGCACCCCACGCCTACGGCCACCCAACCGCAGCAGCAGCCCAAAAAGGAGGTCAGGTATCTGGGCTCCCATGCATAATGAAACACAAAGAGTGAACAAGGCTAGCTTTAGGGTTAGAGGTTGTCCTATCCCTCGTGCAGCCTCATTCATCAAGAGCTAGATGTGAATTTTGTCCCTCGAAGGGACACATGTGCCATGGACAGGTGATGGATGAAGTGCAGCTTGGGTTGCCATCATGATGCACTGGTTACTAAGCCTTGACTGTTGCTGAGGGGTATCTTCTCTTCCCCCTAAGTTGGAGGAGCTGAAGTATCATCATTTAACAGCTTTGTCAGGAGCAACACCATGTATTTAAAGCTGTCCACTGTGGCTTTGATGTTCTGGCAAGCAGCTCATGTTTGAAAGCTGTGAGATGCTCCTGGTGCTTTCTCTGATGTCCTTAGATGAGACGTGGCAGCCCCTGCACATGTTCACGCTGCAGCTCCTGGAGATGTGCCGGGGGAGGGGGTCTGTCCTCCTTAGAAACTGTGCATTGATTTATACCAAGTGACATCCTTAGCGAGGTCCTACAGGGGCCATGGCTTGGAGGTCCCAATAAACTCCTCGCTCATGCAGGTATTTGGCCTCGTTTCTTCCCCTTCTTCCAGGACACAGGTTGAAGGGACAAAGACAGTCTCTGGCTGGTCATGAGCCTCCCAAACTGAACATCTTGGACTGAAACTTATTTGGTTTTGTTACTGACCTCCAAAAAACACGCATTTGACTTGGGCTTGATTTCTGTGGTGAATAGTGATTCTCATGCGGCAGAAAAACTATTCGAAGTGTAGAGTTGGCAAACCAGCAATTAGATATGCAGAAAACCACTCTGTGGAACAGAAGATGGAAGAGAAGCAACAATCTGTACAATTTTGTACTAAAACTGTAGTAGACAGAATTTTTCATCCGTCCACCCATTTATCTATGTTTTGGAGGGACCTTGGCCCTTCCTCTGTATCAGAGCATCCTTGATTGGAGTGAATCCTCATGAGGGGCTGGAGCTCAGCACAGAAACTCAAGGCAGCAGAGAGCTTGCTGAGCTTCCAAAGAGTACAGAATTCAAAACATGTAGTCTGACTTTTAAGAAACCTTTGATTGATTAAAAGTTGTAACCTAGATGTTTCTCATTCTCCACTCTTTCTCTTCCATCACATTCCTTTATCTTTTTGTTCTTACCTCTTTCTTCCTTTGTGGGGGTGGGATATTCAGTGAAATATAAATAAGCCTTGCTCTGTCTTTGATGTCTTTTGAATTTTCTTCCTTTTGCTGATGTTGCCACATGAATTTTGTAGAAGGTCATACATCAGAAAAGGAGCAGACCATTAGGTGCAGCTGTGTGGCCTGAGAGGGAGAGCAAACCGCAGAGGAGCATCCTGGGAGCCGTGGCTCCATCCTCATCTCCTCCAGTCTTTCACAGGGCACTGCCTTGTGCTTCCCTTCCTTCATCTGTGAAAGTCAGCATCGTGAGCATGGTGGGAACTGCAGGCCAGAGTGAGGTGACCCAATCACCTTCACCCTGTTTCCAGCAGCAGCCAGGCTTACGGAGTGCATTCTGCCCCTTTCTCTCAACTTTTGGCCTGTTTCAGCCAAATTGGGTACAAGGGAAGAAGCTTCACAGATAATTAATTTTCTGCAAGCATCATTAAAAATGGGTGGCCAGGAAGATGGGCTTTTGGACAGTTGCGTGTTTGTCTCTAGCTTCTGATCCCATCTGCAGTGGGATGCAGAAAGCCACAGATCACAGTCAAAATAATCTGCAGGAGGAGGATTATGAGGGGAAGTAGAAGGGAATTTTGAAGGAATATGTGGAAATAATAGAGAATATTCAGTGTAATCCAGTTTAAAGGTCAGTCAGCACAAATTTGAAGACCAGGCATCATTTCTTCCACTGTTCATCTGCTTGTTTATTATTATAAGGGAGAAGGAAAAATGGAAACAGAAGAGGAGAGGTTGTCTCAGAGGTGCTAATGCTTTGGGGAATGACAATGATAACGTTGGTGATCCTAGGTTAGAGGGAAATGGCACTGCGTCATCCTGACTGAGGCAGAGCCATAAGCCTGAGGGCAGCCCCATCCCTGTTTCATGGAGCTGAGCAAAGATGCTCCATTTTCCAGGGAAGCATCCAGAGCTTAAGTGCACCCTTGAAAGTCAACCAGATGGTCCAGTGCTTCACTGAATTGGAGTGAGCGTGCGGGAGCATCCCCAGTCTCTGTTGGGGCTGGTAGGTGCAGAGGCAGCGGTGGCTGTGAATGCAGAGCACTGTGTGGTTATGCTGAGGCTTCTGCAATACAACCAATAGCGCTCTGCACAGCATCTTCTCCGTGGTGCATATCTAGTGTTTCACAGCTTGCATTTTGCAAGCACCTTATCTGCAAAGGTGCTTCATGGAGAATTTGCGTATGAAGTGCTTTGTGTATGGAGAATTGCTTCATGCTGGGTTTTGAGTTTTTGAGGAGCTGGTAGCTGCTGTCCCTGCTCTTATCCCCAGCTGGAGCTGCTTCCTCTGGCAGTGTACCATTTTGAGTTTCCACATATACAGGAGTGGTATGGTCTGTGACGGGCAGAGTATCAGAAATATGCTCTAGAGACCTGCAAAGTATTCGTGAGCTGCAAACAGAACTGAGAAGTTAGAGGTTGCTTTTACGGTGACTATTTCTGGCTCTCATCCTAATTCACAAGGGAGAGGAACAGGTTCAGAGACGGTGCTGAGGTGGTCTTAAACTGTCCACTTATGTTGGATGTGTCCAGATCTAACTGCAGTGGGATTTTTATCTCATTTGATCTTCACATCTGCTGGGTACTGGAGGCAGCGTATTATTTACAGGCTTCACAATGAGAATATCTGCGTTTGGTTAGACATGAGATCATAGAATTACAGAATGGTTTGGCTTGGAAGGAACTTTTAAAGATCATCTAGTCCACCCCCCCAGCCAATGGGCCAGCACATCTTCCATTAGATCTCTAGTTCACATTCTCCTACTCTGCAAATCTCTACTTTCCATCCTCCTCCAGTTTGTGAATCCCAGTGCCTCGCCCACCCCGTCCCAAGGACTTCTTGATTATAAGATGAGTTTTCCATCAGGACTGGAAGTATTATGAATTCAGAGCCTATCTGATCAAGAGGAATAGCAAATTGGGAGTCGAGGATTGGTTAGAAGAGGCATCTTGTCAAATAGTAGAGTGACTTTTTTTTTACTTTTTTTTTTCTTCAATTAATGAAACTGTTTTGACAACTAAATTCCCCTCCTTCCGTCCACCCACTCCTGATGAGTGCGGGTAGATTCTGAAACAGCTGGTGTAGTTCTTCTTTGTAGTTGTTCTGATGTTGACCTCAGATCCTTTTAAAAACATGTTTTACAGAATTCTTGTATTTGGGAGCTTTCAAAACCACTTCAATGTATGAATCATGCTTAAAAATCGGATTTTTTTAATTCTGTAGGGAGTGAAGTGCACAAATTGGGGCTTGATGACAATATCAGCAGGGTCAGAGGAAGGAACCTTGTTTGAAAGGTATCTAAGGGCTTCTGTGACCTTTGCTAGCTACCTCTGTCAATATTGAGTGAAAAGCGGTGTTTTAAAGAAACTTTTGTTCCAGAAAAGACTTGATAGGCCTCCACAGATCTGCTGCAGTTTCTTTGAACCCACCTCTTGTCAATACCCAGACCTTTGAACTTGTTGATTTGCATTAACTCTTCTTTCTGCCTTTACTTTTACAACCAAGGCAGGCCCTATAGCTTTATTTAGAAATCACCCATCATTAGTAACCACAATCATTTAGTAGACATATTTACAAGGTAAGTGACAGTGGGAAGTAATTAAGTTTAATATAAATCGCAGTCAATTTCAAATCTGCAGGCTTCAAAATAATAATTAATAGAAACTGCAGCTTCTATAAAAAGATGCAGTATTTATAGCAGTATCTTCTTTCTTTTCTAGCTAAATGCATTGAGTCTAGCAGAGATTAAAATCCCCTGTCTGTTCATCTTATTTGTTTCAAAGCCATTTTCTACCTGTGGCGTGCTTCACTGCAAATTATCCACTGCTTTTGTTCTTTGTGGGGAGATTTTTTACTCTTTAAGTTGATGGCAGTGCTCTTGCTCAGCATTGTCCAAAACGGCCTTCTAAATGTACATATCTAGAGCTGTGGCTTTCAGGTAAATGTGTGTTTTATAGTTCAGTGCCTAACGATGTGTGTGCTTTGTTTCACAGGTGTCATGCAGCTGACAGGTCTGCTGGCGGAGCTGATGGTCACAGCCAGGGCAGAAATTCTTCATTAAACAAAGTACAGTAAAAAAATCAAGGAAGCTTGGAGCCATTTGCAAGATCTATTGAGTTGATTGCTCACCCTGTCTGAAAAAGTCATCATTTGGGACAAGAGCCTGCTGCCAGCAGCTGCCATGGCTAGCAAAAGAAAGTCAACGACTCCCTGTATGGTACGAACTTCTGAAGTCGTGGAGCAGGAAGGCACTGAGGGTGTAGAGGCTCCTAAAGAGAAGGGGGCTGGCGCACCACATCAGGACTCTAAAAAAAATTTGCCCTCAGAAAGCTCAGTCAAAGACTGTGAAGTGGTTGAAGCAAAGCCCCCAGCTGAAAATCAGTCTAAGAAACCCCAGGGTGGTTATGAGTGTAAATACTGCCCTTACTCAACACAAAACTTAAATGAATTTACGGAGCATGTTGACACTCAGCATCCTAATGTCATTCTCAACCCCCTGTATGTCTGTGCTGAATGCAACTTCACAACCAAAAAATACGATTCTTTATCTGACCACAACACGAAATACCACCCGGGAGAGACTAACTTTAAGCTGAAATTAATTAAACGCAATAATCAGACTGTTCTAGAGCAGTCAATTGAGACCACCGCTAATGATGTTACTGTCACAAGTGGTGGGCTAGAAAACGCAGACTGTGGTGATTCACTTCATGGGGGAATTAGTGCGAGTAAAACACCAATGATGAAACTGGGAAAGCCTAAAGGGGAAACCAAGAAGGGTCCCAAAAAGCCAGAAGAGGGAGTTACGGAAAACCATGTGGATGGCACACTGCCCCGCATCATAACTGAAGCCACTGAAGCTATTGCTTGTATAAACGGAGACCTTCTCCATGATGTGTTAGCCCATGTTATGCCCTCTGTACAGCTGCCACCAAATATTAACCTTGTCCCCAAGGTCCCGGTACCTCTGAATAGTACCAAATACAACTCTGCACTGGACACTAATGCAACCATGATCAACTCCTTTAATAAATTTCCTTACCCAACGCAAGCAGAGTTGTCATGGTTGACAGCAGCATCAAAACATCCAGAAGAACAAATCCGAATCTGGTTTGCTACGCAACGTTTGAAGCATGGTATAAGTTGGTCTCCTGAAGAAGTGGAGGAGGCAAGAAAGAAGATGTTCAATGGTACTATCCAGGCAGTTCCCCAGACCATCACCGTCCTGCCAGCTCCTTTGACAACTGCAAAAATGCCCCAGCCTATCATCCAGACAGCTTTGCCTTGTCAGATACTGGGCCAGACCGGTCTGGTTTTGACTCCTGTGTCAAATGGCTCAACTGTCTCCTGTTCACCAATTACACTTGCTGTTACCCCAAACCAGGGGCAAAAGAGGACAATACAGACCTTATCAAGTGCCCCAGAGGCCAAGCGTCCTCATGTTGTTCAGGTGCCTGAGATTCCTGCCAAGTTGACTGCTGTACCACTGACGCCAGCCAGCGAGCGAAAAAAGACGAAGGAGCAGATAGCAGAGCTGAAGGCCAGTTTCATGGCAAGCCAGTTTCCTGATGATGCAGAGGTCTACCGGCTGATAGAGGCAACAGGTCTCTCCAGGAGTGAGATCAAGAAGTGGTTCAGTGACCACAGATACAGAAGTCAAAGGGGCATTGTGCACATCCCTGGTGATGCTTTAGGAAAAGATCAAATAGCACCTTCAGCTGGTCGATACGGCCGTTCGTTTCACCCATACACAGATTTTACTCCCCAGAGATTCAAAGAGAAAACCCAAGAGCAGCTTAGGGCCCTTGAGGAGAGTTTCCTAAGATGCTCTTTTCCTACCCAAGGAGAATTGGACAGGCTTCGAGTGGAGACTAAGCTGAGTAGGAGGGAGATAGATTCATGGTTCTCTGAGCGGAGAAAGATAAGGGACAGCATGGAGCAAGCCGTCTTGGACTCCATGGGATCATACAGAAAAATTAAAGAACAAGGAACTCCCAATGGTGCAATAAGCCAGGCAGAACTGCTGAGTAGCTCTCAGCTCCCCGGTGCTTTATCTGGATCCTCCACTACATTTAAGAAAACCCAAGAGCAGATTCATCTACTGAAAAGCACGTTTGCAAGGACCCAGTGGCCATCACCCCAGGAGTATGACCAGTTAGCATCTCAGACTGGGCTCACAAGAACTGAAATAGTTCGCTGGTTCAAGGAAAACCGGTCTTCACTAAGAACGGGGTCACTTAAATGGATTGACCAGTACCAGCAGCAGCATGTTGTTGATGGTCATAACGAGCAAAGCCAGAAAAAGGGATCAAAACACATTGAGAATCCAAAGAATGGTAATGAGGTATCTCGGCAGCATTACCAGGAGCATAAAAAACTGAATGAAGAGAATGGGGGGAAACCAGTGGTGAGAGCAAAAAGAGACTGCGAACCACTGAAAGACTCTTTGTTGGGGAATCAGGCGGAGGGTACGGACAGGTTGGAGTGCAACAGCCACGACGGCCACGGCAGCGAGGAGAATGAGGAGCCAGCGGAGGTCAACTGGGTGGAGGTGACGGTGGGTGAGGATGACGCTGCATCGGACTGTACAGACAGCTGGAGCCAAACAGCACCTGAAGGCCAGGCAGAGCTGGCGGACTTTGACTCTGAAAGTATATCTGGAGACAATTCCCACGTATAGACAGGTAATGCTGATGGTGCCCTGTTTCTCTGAGCCTGCCTCTGTCTGGGTGTGCTGCCAGCATCTGGTAGCCCCTCCTCAGTGTAAACCCCTGGAGCCCATCCGTGCTGGATCCTTGTGCCTGCTGGATGCCTGAACAAAAGGGAGACCCATCCTACTTGTAAATTAAAGCAACTGCGTGGTAGGGGAGGGGTTAGTGCTGTTCGCCTTGTTTCTTGTATGCTTGTGGGTCAAATCCTGGATAAGGGTGACTTTTTTTGTTGTTGTTGGTTTTTTTGGCAATAAGTGATTAAACTTTCTGCCTTTAAGCGACCTATAATAACCTCTGCAGTACTTGATGTAAAACACACCAGCTGAGCCATGCAATGAATCAGTAAGTAACACTAGTTGCTAATATCCCCCTTTCTAACAGATCATTCATCTCCCATGAATAGAGGCTGTGCCTGTTTTTGCACCTCGGGTCCTTCCGTTGCAGCATCCTGCCCTGTTCAGAATAAAAGGTCACTGGGGGAAGGGCCCAAGACAGAGATGCCTCTTTATGCAACAGCAAGCAGGAGGAAAAAAAAAAAAAAGTTGTGGGGACTGAAGTGGCTCATGCAAATGTTCTCTCTTCCTCTTGCAGGTGAGAACAGTCCTCAACCTGCTTTGTTCTGCTTGCTCACTCGAGAGGCTTAGGAAGTGCCCCAGACTAAGCTGTGTGGGTGTTTTAGCAGCTCTTCTTCAGAGGATCTTGAATTTAAAAGCAAGCTGCAGGGCCTTTATTTAAGGGGGTTTTATACAATCTTTCACAGTGAGAAAGGACATGATGGAGAGCTGAAAGCCTGTTTCTGACCACAGTTGCACAGGTATAAATCTGGAGCAAGCACTGTCAGCATTTCTTGACTTGTATTTCTTGAGTTCACTGGAGCCTGTAATGTTTGTGCTCAGTGTAACCGAGTCTGTTTCTCCCAAACAAGTCTCCTTAAGCTAGAACTTATCCCACAGAAAGCTCCACACCCTGCGTTAACAACCACAGTGAGCGAACACCTATTTTAGAAAGAGTCAGTAGTTTTCTGGTATCTAATAAGTATAATATACTTCAGCATTTCTTTAAAAAAATATAAAAATCATAAATAAATAAATGGAATACAAAAGCCAGATTGAAAGAAGTCCCTCCACACTTGCACTGAAGACTTACTATTGCAGCTGGTGGTGCTTGAATTGAACTACTATTTGTCACAGAGGTGCAGTTTCTCATAGCAAGCCCCGCTGGCTAGCCCAGAGCCCGCCACTTTCTCTTTGTGCAGTACTTGTCCAAAAGTCTTCTGGATGTTTCCTCTGAGTTAAAAAGGCAAACCCTGCAGTGGTTTTATTTTGAACTATGAATTGTGTTGGCTAATTTTGAGGAATGTTATCGCAGCATCTGTATCGCAAAGTATCTTAAAGCTCCAGACTGCAATGCAAGGCACTGTCCTGTGTTACGCTTGCAGAAGTTGGTAATTAGGGATGTGAGGAGCAGGCTGTGCTACCTGTGTGGCAAAGGCAGAGATTAAAAGAGGAAGGACATGGGAACATCAGCCGGAGGCACGCTGGGGTGCCACTGCTGTGCAGCCACATAAGAAAGGAGAGCCAGGATCTGATCTGCCTTTTAAAATCAAACACCTGATGAATAAATGCATTGTGGGACTTTTTTTTTTTTTTTTTTTCAGTGTTGTTATTCCAGATCATTTCCCCCTTCCAGCTATAAACGTTTGTACTGAGGAGAGGGAGCAGACCAGGGGTTAGGAGACGGAATAGGGAGGAGGGCAGGAGAGGGATGAAGAGTTGCCTGAAACCACTATTTCTTACAAACCTGTTGTACTATGAACCCAAGCTCTGCAACAACCCTCTTCCAGCAGTGTAGGCTTGGTGCCTGCATTTTTGTGCTTGTAAGCAGTGTAGGATACGTTGGGGTGAACCTCCTGCTTTTGTGCCCTGGCACAGATGCTGACCATAAAGCTCCAGGGCTGTGGTATCAGAGAAGAATTTTAGTAAGAACTTTGATCTCGGTTAAACTTCTGCTGGGTTATCCTTTTGATGAGGAGCTTTCTGGTGGCTGGTTGTAAAATGCACTTACTGAGGAGAGATGCACTTGAGCAGGGCTTCCGCTGTGAAGACCATGCAGTAAGATCAGAGAACCATTTTGTCCTCTGCTCTTTGCCCGTTTCTCAGCATGCTGGCCTAGGAACTTGACAAAAGTCTTTTTCTCTTTCACTTTTCTTTATTCTCCCTGTAAGTCTCAGCCCAGAAGCACCAGTGCCTGCTCTCCCGTGCTTGCATGGAGGCATTGTAATAGACATTGTGACACAAAAGCTAGAAGCTTTATGCCCCACACTGATGGGTCCCATGGAAAAATCCCAGCTACTGGCTCCTTTCTCGGTCAGGATAAGCTTTCACTCTTATCTTTGGGAAACCTATCTTTTGTAATTTTAAACTAAAACTTTGGTGTTAAATTAACAAGGCATTAGCTTAGGTGACATCCAGGATATGACTCAAAGGCAAAGACATGCAAGACCTGACAGAGAGCTTGTTTCTGCCCGTTGTCATATAAAAGTCTGATTTTTCCTAACATTGTAGCCCTCCGTACTTTAGAGGGGTTGTGTCGCTGTCCTGGCTGCACGTAACAGGTAAACTGAAGAGCTGACAAGGGATTTCTCCTCTTGAGTCTCACACAGCCACAGTCATTATGTGAAGCTTTCACTGCTGAACCCTAAATCAAGCAGAAACATGGTCCTTTGATATTCGTGGTGTTGCTATTTTCTCAGCTTGATGTACGTAGTTTAAAGCAAACGTTTTTTGGTCATTGATCTCCATACTCCTGTTGTTGGCTGAATGTGTGTGCGACGTCTGTAAAACCTGAGCTCTTACAGACCATCTTGGTCACTCTCTGCTCCAGTGTGTAGCTTTAGGAGTTTCTGAAACTATTGGGGAGTATTTGTGTTACAGCCTAGACAGACTTTATGCCTTAAAAAACTGAGTTTTTCAAAACTGATCTGTGTTCAGCAGATTCTGCTGCTGCTGCAGTTAATGGGAGTTTCACAAGTTTCCGGTCTCAGCGAGAGCAGGATTCACTCCTGGCTCTGAAATGGTATCCCTGGACTAAGAAAAGGCTCTGTTACTAAGTCTGTATCTGAAGCTTTTGACAAAATTGGATTTATTCTGCAGAGCAGGTCAGGTTTTCCTGAGCAATGAGGCTGGGAGACCTGTCCCCGTAGGGTCTGAAGGCATTCTTCAAGATGTGGAGTGGTTGCTGGAGTGGTGGAGTGTTTCAGCCATCACTGAAAATGCTCCAGATGCTGCATAATGAAGCCTCACGTCCCTCTTGCAATGAGGCCCAACTGCTCTATCAAGAGAGTGCTGTAGTTTCCCATCAGTAGAGATATTCCTGCCTTCCAGCAGCACAGGTCAAAATTACGTCTGTTGTCCCCATTTGCACAAGCCTGACAAACAGAAACTGGTCCTAAATTAAATACAGCAAACTGCAGCTCAGACATGAGAGTGGGATCAGAGCATGCCAGAGTGGTTGGCAGCTACCACAGGCTTTCTTCACAGCATTGTCTCCCCGTGGGGTTTTCCCAAGATCGGTATTTCCTCAGCCCAGAGCTTTTGGGGTTTTTTTCTCAGAAGCATAAAAAGTTATCTCATGACCACCATTTTAAGCCCAAACCCTGGAAGATATAGGCACCAAAATCCATGGTTTATGGTGGGAGCAAGGTAAGTAGACACCCCAAAAGATGTGCGTCCTGGCCATGACCACTGCTCTGAGATGTGCCAAAGGAAAACCATGCCTGGGAGTTGCACACCAGGAAAAAAGAGTCCAAAGGATGTCACCCCTTGCTTCTGTTATATGCATTGTACTGGGCATCACAGGTGGTCTGATTCCTTTTGGTGCCTCCAACCCCTTTTGCACCGCTGCGGGAGCTAAGATCACTCGGTTGCTGGTGGCCTAGTGCATTCCTTGGTGTCTGAAACCGGTAAAAGTGAACAACATTGGTGTTTCCCTCCCTTTCTGTCCAAGTTCTTATTTTTCTTGTGGTTTAGGGTTTCATCCCTAAAGCTAGCTATAGTGCCTAGTACTGGTGTTGGGCTCTGAGGCACCACCCTGAAGGCAGTGTCAGATTGACCAGTGGCTTTTGTAAAGCTCAGGTCACCCTAAAACATTTCAGGGAATGAAGCCAAAGTATGGAAGATTTGCTGTTTCCCCTGAAACCAGTGAGGCATCTCAGAGACCCAAGCTGCAACGCAATGAAGGACTTCAGAGGGGGAAGCAAAACCCAACACGGCAATTAAAATTTTCCAATGAGTTAAGAGGAGCCAGGGGGCTGTTTGAGGAAAGGTCGCAAGGATGGGGAGGGCTTTTGCCTTTGGTGTTGGTGCAAGCCCATGCCCTTTTACTGGGCTGGACTGCATTGCTTTCTACATTGCAGGTACCAGACAGAGCTCACTGCTTTTGTGGGAAATAACAGACCTGGTAGCAACTTTCATAAAAGGTGTGAAATAATGAGTTAGCTTAGGTTTCGGTAAGCACTGGTGCAGGATGGGTGAGGAGGGTGGTGCAGGAAAGCTGCCTCGTGCTGCTGCGTGCAGCTCCAGCCCGAGCAGCTGCCTGCACTTGCACACATGCATCTCAATGGGGAAAAACATGCTAAACAATTCGTCATAGAGCCATTCCTCTGTGCTGGGAACTGGGGATGTGTGTAGGTGGGTGAGTATTTGAAGGTTGGGTTTTGCGGGCTTATTTTTTAACATCTGGTCCATGGTGTAGCCTTTATGTAGATGCAGGAATCATAGCAGAGCCAGGGAACTACTCTGCAGAGCACAGGCACGTGCAATTTTTTTCCATTGTCTTGCAGCTTGTATAATTATTTCTAAAATAATGTGGGGGGAAAAAAAAGTATTTAATGAGAGGATTTAGTGGGGAAGAAAGACCTGAAGTCTTGCCTTTAGCATCCTGTGGTCACAAAGTAACTGCCCATAACCCATGTGCACATCATCTTTGAGCCAGCATAAGGATCTACCTGAGGTGTATAGTAATGAGGGATCAGCAGAGTCAAGGCTGGGCTGTATGTCCCTGTTAGAAATCTATAAGGGGTTGTTAGCTAGTTGTTATGTACGACAAAAATCGGGCACCCTACTGCAGCATCAGGCGGCAATAGGGATAGGCTTCGGGGTGTGGTTAGTACAAAATATAGTTCTATGGCGTATGCAGGGATGTAAACTGGACGCTGTGTTAGTTGGCAGCTTAACTAGTTGTTCACACTGCCTTCAAAAATAATATGCTACTTTTATAATTTTTGCAGGGGTACTCCTCAAGCTGCACTGTCCTGACGTTGAAGGGGAAATGCTGTCTGAAAATAGAAGAAAACTATTTTCCTGCCTGGGGTGAGATAGCGTGTTGCGACTCCAAGTCTCAAACCACGCTTGTGGAGGCACAGCAAGAAATACTCTTGTGGAGCGTCATCATGGGATCGTTTATAGTGCCAAAGTCCTACTACTGCATTTAAAAAGAAAAAGGAAGGAAGGAAGGAAGAAAGAAAGAAAAAAGGGTCCTTGTACATAGGTTTCTCCTTAGCTTCTCTCCCACCCACTTTCCTGCCCAGCCTCTTCCTCTGCTGGAGCAGATTTGTACAACGTGGAAATTTTGTTAACTTTTTAATAGGTGCAAGTTATTCTTGCATATAATGCCATTGCAAAATTTGGGGATTGGTTTGGGGGAGGGAAGTGACTTTTGTGGGGGAGGGAGAGGAGAATTTTTTCTGAAGCGTTTTAAGACAAATTTGCAATGTTTTGGAGTCTTGTTGGTGCAGATCAACATCTGAGCCCAGATCCCCACCCCAGTTTACATTTCAGCCCACTTAAATGCATTATGGGGTTGGAGAGGGTCATTCTGGAGTGGTTGGGTTTGTTTGTTTTTTTTTCTTGTTGTTTTGCCTTTTCCATTTTGTTTTATGGCCACCTGCTACTGGTTGAAGTATTTAATTCTCTGCTTTTCCGTGCTCCTATAAGGCGAGTCTTCTCCAGCTCCTGTACTTCACTTTTCACAAATCAACCCCAGCCGTGGGTCTCTGAAGATCTGGCTAGAACGCCTTTTCTTTGTTGTTGGTTGGTTTTTGTTTTGTTTTTTTAGCACTTTTTGTTTAAACATGCAGTACAACCCCTAGAGGGGTTGGAGAGAGGAAATTAAGATGCTTCATAATCCGAACTTGTTTGTGTTTCTTCAGCTGGTACAGCGATGGACACCATAACCAACAGTCTGCCCTCCAGCTTTAGATGTTGTAGTGCACAACAGAAATTTCTGATTAACCCTTGCCACTAAATTTTTAGATCAATCCTAGGTTCCCGAGTGCACTTTTTTTTCAAATACTGCTAATTTGGATTTGCGTGGGGGTGTCTGTCCGTGCACGTAAGAGGAGGAGGGAGAGTGGGAGCGTGGGTGTGTAGACAAGTGGGTGCAAGAGCCATCCGGTGCGTTCCTCTGATGAGCTGGGTTTGGAAAACTTACCCACCTTTCAGTACGCTGCACAAATACAATGCTAGGGAGTTTGAATAAATCCAACTTTTCTAACTTGTTGCTCATTTGTTGTAACTCAATAAAACAAAGGCTAAACATTTTGGTAACCTTTTTCTCGTCTCTTTTTTTTAATATTATTATTTTATTCCATTTAAAACCCCAGCTCGGCCCACACCAGTGCTCCTTGGTGCACAAGAGCTCAGTGTCTTTAGAGCTGTGATTAGGGTTTTAAGTGGTTTTGCAGTAATAGGCTTGGAAACCCTAACCAGATTAAAGTGAACTACTGATGTTTATTTCCCTGGTGTTAGATGGCTCTTCCCTGTGCAAGGGGTCGGATAGCACCTGGGAATGGGGATTTAGGAGGCATCTTTATTTTGGTTGCAATCACAACCTCAATGAATGAATGAATGAAACCATCCCTGTGACTCACCCGTATGGAATTATTTTTGTTAATCATCAGCACAACATTTAAGTGTCGAGGGAGGTTTGCAGGAGGCGGTGGCGAGCGCTTGGCGACTTTCCTTACACTGAAGTTGTCTAGTTCATTGCCGAAGAGGATTGAAGGGATGGGGCAGCACTTGCGCTTGCTGCATTTGCGTGTCACGGGCCAATGGCAGGAGGTGGGGAAGCAACCTCGGCTCCTCTGTGGGCAAAGGCAGCCGGGCAGCATGTGCACGTGTCCCATCACACGTGGCGCTGTGCATCGCTCTCCCATGTGCGTGGAGGCAGGTGCCTGCACAGTCACGTCCGTACCTGCTGTGGCGTGGGTTGTCAGATCAATGGATGCTAACGTCAGGTGGCCAAAAAGAAAAGGCCTCCGAGGACACTCCAACAGGACTCCAGAGTTGTCACTGAAACTAATTGCCACTTCTGTCTGCTTTGCTTACATGAAAGGATGCTAATATTTTAATTGCCCTCGTGCACAGTTTTTAACAGCCACTTGGCGGCTTAATATTCCGGTTTGCATCTCTCCTGTTTGATGTGCGCATACGTCTGTGTGTCTGGAGCACTGACCTACTTTGCTTAACCAGCAGATCCTGGGGAGCTCCGCAGGAGGTTTGGCAAGAACAAGACCCACCTGGGTCTTCTGTATTTGTACCGCCCAAGACAGGACGGCATTAGGGGCCGGGACTGGGGCACTTCAAGATCTCTGCAATTCAAATAAAACAATAGCAGCGGCCCTGGAGTCTGTCGTCGCACAGATTATAAAGCTGAAGCTCTGCCACAGCAAACAAACGGGCTCGCAAAAGACTGGCACGGCCTTTGCCGGCCCCGGCAGCGCCAGGTGGGTTTGTGCAGGCGGGTTGCGGTGCGATACCGAACTGTCACGCACCGGGTTTCATCGGGGAAAGCTGATCTGGTGGCCCCTTGTGTTTTTGGCTTAAAGTAACCCAGGTTCCCACAAAGATTGCTTCAGTGTGGCTGCTGGAATGGGTTCACAAGCTGGGCATTGCGAGCAGGCTTTGTTTTTAATTAATACCGACGCAGTGACTGCGTTTCTAGGAGAGTCCAAGCAGCGCGGCACAATCGGGACATTGTTTGTACGCCGCGGCCATTAGGGACGGCCTTGGCCGTGGGGTTTGGTTGCACATGGGTGAAAACAGGCTGCCGACACGGCGGTTCCTCCCGCACGGCCTTGCCTCCGTGGGGCAGGAGCCTGGCGATGGCACCGCAGCGAGGGGACGGCGTGGGACAGCCTCGCCTGGGCAGGACCCCCGGGACCAGCTCAGGCGCTGATTGGCATCCTTCTCAACGTGTTTTAACCGAAGTCTCTTGAAATGTTCTAATCAGAAGAAATCTAGTTAACACAAAAATACATTAAAAAAAAATAACACAGATTTTTTGCACTTGTGCAACACTTCTTTTTTAATGTGGTTTGTAGAAAACTTTCCATCATTCGGAAGCCAGGAATGACTTTTGAATTAGGTGACCTCTGCTTTCTTAATTTAGTCTGCTTGTATGCTGACAAGAGGGTGGGTTTTCATTGTATACACACGTTACTCCTCCTGCCTGGTCCATCAGATGCTGGGAAGGGACCTGCTGCTCAGTAAATGAGCTGCTGTTGGCTCCTTACTGCTGTCGGAGAGATGGGGACTCCAAGCGCATGATAACACGGCTACAGTTTAGGGCTGGTCAGACAGAAGTCTTGTTAAATGCGATCATGGTGGGAGACCACTCAGACAACAGAGAATAACAGCATCACAGAATGGTTTAGGCTGGAAGGAACCTTCAAAGATCATCTCGTCAAACCGCCCAACATAGGGAGGGACATCTTTCATGAGATCAAGTTGCTCAAAGCCCCATCCAACCAGGCCTTGGGACGTTTCAGAGCAGAAACTTCAGCATATACAAACTTCTCTGCAGTCCAAATGATTTGTTTTTCACTTTTTTTTTTTTTTAAGAAAACAATGCTCTTCACTTTTCAGCCACATCACTGCAGTTGCACCCTTTCTAACCTCAAATCTCTGATGTTGACTTTTGAGAATTTCATCTAATGCATCACTTGGAAAGTCAGCCAGTGAGCGGTGCAAGTAGTCTGCATCTGCAGGGTGAAGCCAGCAGTCGCAGAGATCACTCTCAGAAGAAGGGGGTCCCAGCACCACGGGGACCATCACAGGCTGGGGCAGGAGGTGTGGGGTTATGCAAGAAATCCGAGTGATTATGAGCATAATGATAATTATGTGGTGATAACTTGAAATCTAGGAAAATACACAGGTAAAAACAACAACCAAGATAAGTAATATTTATGCATTATAGTCACCATTAGCAGAAATTTAACCACTGAAACTTTCATTATCATCTTCTTGTAACCCTCAGATATTGTTAGGCAGCAAAAAGACACATCCTGAAATTGTTTACAGAAAGGGGAAAAAGAATTAATTTCGAGACACATAAGGCAACATTGTAGGAAATCTGTTTGGCATCCTAATGGCAAGGAAAGAGCCCACCAGTGATGGAAAGGAACTTTTTTAATCATCTCCCAAGGAAAAAGACCTGAGACCATTTAGCTCAGGGAAAGGGAGGACTTCTGCGCTCATGGGATCAGTGACTAATGGAAAGCAGTTATGAATGGGGCCTGTGGCTCTTGAGCATAGTTCTGAAAATATTCATAGTACAGCAGGAAAAGGGAATGTATTGAGAGCAAAAGAATGCGAGATACGCAGTAAAGGAATGAAAAAGCAGCATAAAACCCGAGTGTTACGCAGTTGAACCATATTCCAATCAGATTATTGCAAGCTCTAGCGAGGATGGAGGTAAGAGCTTAGTGACCGGGTAATTGTCAGACCTAATCACACAGCACACATCTTGAGTGCAGTAAGCAAAACCAGGGTTTTTCCATTGTTTTCTTATTTCCATCATACCTGATGCTCCAAATTGGTCATTCTAATTATACTACAGTTCTCATAATTTAAGTGTGCTGTGAAAAGCACACGGGCAAATGGGACATCTATGAAGCTGCTTCAGTACACAAACTCACCCTCTCCTTGCTCTTTTTTTTCCTCTTTCTTAAAAGTCTGATCATCCCTGTGCAATATATTATGTAAAATTTATGTGCGGCAATCTTAATCTAAAAAAAAAATCATTGTTTTTGCAACACATCTATGAGATAGTTCAAGGAATAATACCATTAACCTAAGTTTACAGACAGAGAAACTGGGAGATGGATGTAGTTATTCACAAGACAGCAGCATAAACGTGCTAAAGGTGAGAGCTGGAGTCTTGACTCCTCAGCAAGGAAGCTTCGGTTTATATTTGTATCAAATCATTGCTGCTTCATTGCCATTTCTTATTCTTTCACCCAAAGCCTTTCCCTTTCCAACAGACAAAGACACAAGGGCAGAACAG